TTGCCTTTTTTGGGCTGTCCTGTGTTTTGAACTTGGCCTTTCTCGTTGGCTAGGCAAGCAGTGTTTTGCATCACACACCAAGCCCCTACGCACCCATGCCCACTTTCTCTTTCTATCAGTATGCTTATCTTTAGGCAATGTTTGAGGTGTTGTTCTGTGTGTGGCAATGTGTTTGTGTGTGCTGCACCAAGTCTAGGGTTTAAACTTGCAGCCAAAGCTCATGGTTTTCTGTCCCTTGAGACACATCTCTACTATTACTTTGAGGTTTTTGCTAGGAAAAAAATGAGTAGAGTCTCTTGGATTGCTGGCTTCAAACATTGGCCTGTTTGAGTCCCTAGGCCTGTAAGGTTTAGACATAGACACTGGGATAGGGTCTGCATGTTTTTCTCTTTATTTATTATAGACCTGTCTCTAACTTGTGTCTGTGCTTGTGTCCTCTGGAGAATCAAGGAGTACAGACATGCACCACTTGCACAGCCTGTTTAGATGAGGCCCCAACATTTTGTATGCCTACGGAAACTGAAATATTCTAGTTTTCCTTACCTGAGCAGCTATGAGTTAGTTACAGGCACACGTTACCCAGTTCAGCGTGAATGTATTTTCCATGGATATATGAAAAGTAGTTACTACAGATTGTCTAAAATGTGTACATATTAAGAGGGTGCCAAGTGATATTTATGCAATGTGTAAATCTGGGTAACATCCTTTCATTAAAGCTGAGTTTACCAATAGACATTTAGAAAGTGGCTTTATGGGTTTGATTTTGTCATGATTTGTTTTTGCTTTTGCTTTTGTACCCTGAATTGTTGTTGAACTTTTGTTTGTGGGTGTTTGTTTGTTTGATAGAGTGACTTGTGCCAGTCCTGGGGCTTGCCCTCAAGGCCTCAGGGCTCTCATTTGGCTTCTCCAGGTGGCCCTTTCACTCCTGCTCACTACTAGGGCTTTACTGTCCCTGCAAAGCCTGCACAACCAAGTTGCTCTTGGAATATCTACCAAAACAAAACAAGGAATCTACCATTACTTGCCTTGTCTCCGATTTTCCTTTTCTGTTTTCTTTGAGCAGTGTTCTCTCACTCAATTACTGGTGCTGCCTCCCAACTCACTTTCTCCCCTCACCTGCCCGGTTCCTGGAATCATGGAAGTGTGCTACCATGCCTGGCTTGCTCTTTGGTGTATAGTGAAGCATTAAAGGGATTTCGGGGAAGCATTTCAGTACTAAATACGTATACAACGTATACCTCCACAATACAGCAGGCAAGGTGGAGTATGTCTTTAATGCAGGTAGAGGATTTGTAGTTTTTACTTGGAAAAGGGTGCTAATCTCCCATGAAGGATAATGCTTAGGTGATATGTTTGTGAAATTTTTGTATAAACACAAACATATTATCACTTTACATTAAAAACAAAGCAAAAGCAAAGAACAGAACACATCAGAACAGAACAACAAAATACCAACTTCACTCAGTTGTCACAAAACACTGAAGCTTCAAAAGGTAAGTAACCATGGAGAACATTTCCAGTGTTTTACTCTCCTAAGCTGTGTTCATGTTTTGTTGGTTCTTTTTATCTTTTCTTTTTTTTTTTCTTTTGTGAGTCCTGGGGCTTGAACTCTGGGCCTGGGCATTGTTCCTCAGCTCTTCATCTCATGGCTAGTACTCTACCACTTGAGCCACAAGGCCAATTCCGGTATTTTGAGTGGTTTATTGAAGTTAGGAGTCTCACCAACATTTCTGGCCAGGCTGGCTTTGACCCTCAGTCTTCAGATCTCAGCCTCCTGAGTAGCTTGGATGACAAGCATGTGCTTCCTCTGTGTTGGTTGGTTTTTGTACTTAGAAGAGAGTACAAGCGATACACTAGTAAAGTATGATAGAAAATTTAAAAAGCAAAACTAAACATGGGCCATTTAAAGATTTTCATATCTACTTACTGGGTGTTTTCCTTCAGGTACCTTTTGTCTCCACATGTGTGCCAGCAGTGGGGCCTAAACTTCGGGTGACAGCTGTGCCTGGTCTCTTGCTGATGGTCTAGCTCTGCCACAGGAGTCACACCTCCAGATCTCCATTTCAAAGGGCAAGAGAACTCTCTCCTTCTGCGTGTATTTCTGTCTGTCTGCCTGCCTGCCTGTCTGTCTGTCTGTGTGTCTCTTTCTCTCTCACTCTCTCTATCCAATTTTAAGGGTATAATGGCCTGTGAGCCCATCTCTGAGAAGACCCAGAGCGGAAAGATGGAAGATCCTAAGTTTGGTGTAGCTAAAGCTTCCTAGGCAGATCATGTGTTGAAACGAATGAAGCAGTAAATGAGTAAGTGCATTATAGCAAATAACTAAATACATCAATGAACAGAATGTAATGCAAACCAGAACTACAGGATTTGGGAACCGGTCGATCCTGTGGAATCAAGCGTAGCTATGACTATGGTTTGTAATCAGCCAGGATTCATATCCCATGATGCTGACCGAGATTCACATGCAATTCTGTTCCTTTTCGAGTATTGACGAATATGGAAAATGTGCAGATGCCATCGTTAGAATGCTCTGTCTTTCCGCATTTCAAGTCAGAATCTCAGACTGCCGACTGCCTTAATAAGGTTGTGAGCAAACGGTTTAGTGTTGCACTGGGACCTCCTCTCCGGCTTCCTTTTCGTTTTCAAAGGTTTCGTTGAGGTGGTCTGCAGGCCTGCCAGCTAGGACTGGAGGTGAAGATTAGGTCAGGCCATGGCCTGGACTGCTAACTTCTCCAAGGGGGCTTGCTTGAAGGAGGGCCTTGCTGCAGCTTTGGGGCAGGGCAGGCGTCTGGGCGCAGGTCAGTGGTGGCTGTGGAGGCAAAGAGAACCTTGTGACCCGCCCCTAGGAGAGCCCGCTGCACGTGACCAGCGGGTCCCCTGTTGTCAATCACCAAGAGGTCCACCAAGAGGTCCTCCAGGAGCCGGCAGGAGGCGCCTATGTGCTCTTCCGCCTGTTCCCGGGTGTGTCTGTCTGGCGATGACGTAAGTAAGTGACGTACTTGCTAACGGTTGTCCTGTGCTGGGGAGCTCGGACCCCTTCGCTCCTCCCCTGCCCCACCAGCCGCAGCCTGGCTCAGCGCCACCTGGGCAAGGTCTTCCCGTGTTATCCGCGCCATCTCTGACCCTTGCTCAGACGGTGTAGTCCGGTGAGTCCGGGACGCCTCTGTGTCCTTGGGCCCTAGTGTCAGTGCCGTGGTCTGGGCGGCGCCCCCCATGGTCCCTCTCCTGCGTCGGGCTGGGCGACGCTGCTCCAGAAGCTCAGTAGTCCCTGAAGACGCAGCTTGCGATCCGAGCAGGCCGGGGAAGGCCACAGTAGGCCGCAGTGGGAGTCGGCTCAGGGAGTGGTGGCCATGGCGCGCTCTTGGGAGGAAGCGGGTGGAGGTGGTGACTGGGTGGCCCAGCGGTGCGAGGCAGCCGAAGCGGCCCCAGTGGACCGACAAGTGATCCAAAGTGGGGGCGAAAGGAGAAGGGCAAAGGGCAAAGGTCCAGGCCTGAGACGAAGGCCGCAGCCGCGCCGCACACATTTTTCACTGTGTAAATATCGGCAGTGCTGGACTGACTCCCTGTGGGGGAAAAGATGCTCGAGTGTCTGTAAGCCTACCTTCTCCAGGAAACGACCAGGGATTGCAGGAGAGGGGGAGCACCATTCTGAAGGCGGCCTCTGGAGAGAAAGATTTCTCTCTGGTGGGTGAGGAGGATGTACAGCAAGAGAGTGGGAGGCCGCACGCGCTGTGAGCCGGCCCTGCCCTCTCTGCCTTTGTGCGCCTTCTCTGCTGGGCTGTCTTCCTCTCTTGCTTCTGTAACCTCTGCACTTCAGCTTCACTGCCTGGTGCTGCCTGGTGCGGCCTGGTGCGGCCTGGTGTTTCCTGGCACTTTCTCACATGGTGTTTGTCCTGGGCTGCTGCAGTGAGACCCCAGGAAATTCAATTTTTGCTCGAGTACCTCATATGAGCCCTTAGGTTGAGGCGGTGCCGATTCCAGCCAGTATTACCCCCACTGTCTGAAAATGCAAACTCAAATTTGGTGGGAAAATACTGCTTCCTAGTGTGTCCAGTGGAAGACAAGAGTAAATTAGGACAGTGAGAAGGTCTGGAGGTTATGTTGTCATGTATCGGGAGAAAGTTTTCCACTCTTTGAATGAATGATGATTCATCTTTTTGTTTCCGTTTTATTTTTCCCTGTTGTTTTCCTGTCCCTTTTTCCTTTCAATATTCTTGGCATGACAGTGGGTTTGGAAGTAGGCTGCAGGGTTTTCCTCTGAAGAAATGCTAAGTGTGATTAGTACATATTTGAGACCTTACATACTTATGGTGGTGTTTCTCCTCTTGAGCGTGGGGTGGGACTGTGGATAAAATAAAAACGTTCTTCTCTCAGAGGTCTTTGGTCTTTCTGGTTGCTGAGCAGCGAGAGAACCATAGTCGATGCACTGTGGAAGGTGTAAGGAGAGCTGACTAGGGTCTTTTGTGGGGCAGTATATGGCTCAGAAAGTTGGCCGCTGGGGATCTTAGCTTACATGCACAGCATTATGAAAAAGTAGGTATTTTAATGCGTTGAGGTGTTCTTTGGTTTTTTTTCTTATAATGGTGTGTGGAACTGTTTCTGCCTCTTTGCTGCAAAAAAGAAAATGGAAAGTCTTACTCAGATCATCCAGATTTTTCCATTCTTGTAAGAAGTATGTAAATAAGTGCTAATCATATCTAATGGGAAATGGCTTAGAACATAATTTGGAAAGCAGAAACTGGCGGTTTCTTCAAATGAAAGTAAAAAATAATCTTCTAACGAAATCATATATTGCTAAGTGTGATTTATCCTGCCAGGGAAACCATGCCTGATGTATCAATTGTCATTATTTAAATACATAGAAACATGCGGTGCTAATACGCTTCAAATGCCTGTTAAAGAAACATGGGAATTAATTTTTTTAGAGTTGTCAGATCACTGACAAAAAAAAGTCAGAAATAATTGAGCTGTTGAGCTCAGACTAACATATTGTGTAGATACTGGCAGGTCGTTGGGGTCCCATCTTGGCTGGAGGAGGGGCCAGGGAAGGGTCCGCCATCCTCTGGTCTTCACCCCCAACTTCCAGTGCTCATGGAGTTACACCTTGGCTTTTAGAGAGATGCTTTCCCAGGCGTGAGCATAGCAGTGCCACAAGTCCGTGTGGGTAGAGCCAGCTGTTCCTCAGCAGCTGCACTCAGGGGCTGTGGGCATGAGACAGGGGGCACCGTGGCCAGGACACCACTGCTGCTCAAATGAGTTGGACAATTTAATTACTGTTTATCAGTGGGACAGCCTGGCTCTGGGAGCTGAAATGGTGCTTGGATATCTTTTTAATTAGTAGATATGCCAAATAGCTATATGGTGTGAAAAAAATGATAATATGATAATACTCTTTGAGATTTTCCACTCAGAAAATAATGAGAATTTTTGGCCATAGGAAGTTATGAGGGTTCATATGAACTCTTGCTCTGTCACATACAGCTAATGACGTGTGGCTTTCCTACTTCTTTTCTTTTAGTGTCTCAGGTTATAGAATCAGAGATACCATAGTCACAAATGATATTTTAGCTTGTAAAATTGTGTGATGATACCTTATCCGTTGGAAATACAGGAATAGAATCTGGCCCTGATTCACCAGACATGAATTTTGAGTAATTGCTCTCTTTAAGAGTTGGTGTTCTGATTGATGCCTCTGGTTGGTCCCTCCTGTCACTGCATCACTGGTGGCCACTTGTAGGTGGCTCACACATCTCATATTGCTGTACTCGCTGATATGTACCATTGATAAGTAGGAACTGGTATGGTATATCACAGCAAATGACAAATGGTGTAGACCTGTCTTTGTACCCCTTCCATGAGCTGTAGTTGTGGGTTGTGTGCTTTGTAGCCTGGTCCATTGGAAGCAGCAGACAATCGGATTCCAGGGGGCACTGCCGGTTGCCCAGTCACAGTGGGCATGTGGTGTGGAAGTTTTCTTGAGGGATTTTGTTTTGGTTCTCCTTTTCATTAAGACTGGAATCAAGCGTACATGTAAACTTTTGGTAATTTAAGTTTCCTTTTGTGTCATTCAGTGTAAAACTGTCTCATTGGGAAAAAATGTAGGTTATGAAAAGTAAAGATTTAGGCACTGTTCAAAAAAAAAAAAGAAAAAGTAGGATGATGATGTTTTGATCAAGAATTACTGAGAGACAAGATAGAGGCAGAAGTAGGGAAAAGACATCCATGTGTAAGTTGAAAACTCAGAAAGTTGCCAATATTTACAGGATGGCTCCAGTTGAGACAATCTGAGATGCTTAGAGTAGAAAGTTCATGAGGGTGCAGTTGTGAGCAGCATTGCTGAGGTCTGTGTGACATTCGACTAGAAGCTCTTGTTCCCTGCAGAAGTTTCAAGGCTGAGAAATATACCAAGGTCGTCAATGTGGGCTCCCACTACTAACCGTTACCAAGAAATGGTGCCTCTTCTCTCATGGTAGGTTGCTCTTACTTTTCCTATCTTGCTGAGTAGAGCAATGGGCTTAATAGCAAGGGTGTTATGATGGCTGACTAGAGAGAAGATTTAGGATGTCTGCCCTGTCCTTAGGTTAATTCTGAAGACACAGGTATTTACAAAGTAGCTCCTAAACTTGTGTAGCCTACACTGTCCTCACAAAAACCCTGCCTGGTGAAAGAACTTACCAAATGGCAATAACCCTTTCATTATTCTTCACTTATCGAAATCTTAAAGCACCTCCTGTGACTGTCCAGTTACTGGAGTTCCTGAACATGTAGAGCATGTGTTTCCAACCATCTTATGGTATAAAAGCCCAGTTTTCCACACCTTTTCTGGACTGCAGCTGATCACAGCAGCAATGCTTCAGCAGTTCTCCATGTTTACTACATCAGGAAGAGGTTTTGAAAGGAGTGAGTAAAAACAGAGAGGCAGCCATTTGTACAGACACTGTTGGCTGCCTTGTGAAATAAAATGCTTAGGCCATTGTTTTTGTGGACTATAGAAGTAGCTGATTTGTATTGGGAGAGCTGAAGTCCTACAGAGAAGATAGAATTATATCCTGCACATTACATCAACATGAGGTGTTTCAGGACATCAGTTAGTTGTGCCCGATGAAGAGTAAATTAGCCTCAAGCATAAGAAAGAATCAGGTGAGGGGCTGGGAAGGTAGCTCAGTGGTAGAACGCTTGCCTTGCATGCCTGAGGCCCTGGGTTTGATTCCTCAGCACCACATAAGCAAAAAGAAAAAAGCCGGAAGTGGCGCTGTTGCTTAAGTGGTAGAGCTCTAGCCTTGAGCTGAAGAGCTGAGGGACAGTGCCCATGCCCAGAGTAGAGGCCCCATGACTGGACCCCAAAAAAAAAAAAAAAAAATCAGGTGAGATTATCTTTAGCAGGAAATCATGTGATGAGTTTATATGTGTGTATATTTATACGAGTACTTCTTTTAATTTTTTTACTGTTTTTATTTTGTGTGTTTAGAGGGGTAGATGGTGATGAACTGGAAAACCAGAGGTATACATATTTTAGTAATAGTCGTTTTGGCCAAAGGATGTGTTATTTCATAATTTACACACAATTTAATGTTTTCATAAACTAATTATTTATTTAAACCTATAAAAAAGAGGCAGATAGTTGCTAAAATAATTAGGAAAGGATAATTAGAAAACATAGGAGGATGATACTTTACAAAACGCCATGCGGGGACTAAAAGTCAAACTCTATGTAAAAATGCCACATTACAGAATATTTTATAAAATACAAAGTCGAAGATATAAAAGGACTATGTATATTCTAACTCTAAAAATGAGTAATCGCGACTAAATATTAGGTTTAAATTTACAGCTTCCTCTGGAAGCGTGTGCAGCCGTTTACTCAGCCATGCAATTTACATACATTTTAGAAAGACAGTCCCTTTCCTTATTTAAAAATTAGTGTTTTGTCAAACTTTTCAACTTTGGTTGGGGATGCAGGGAGGCTTGGGTGTGGGTCGGGAGGATGGGAAGGGATAGGAAGGGGAATCAAAGGAGGAGGCTACAATGTTTGGTAAGAAATGTACTCATTATCTTGCCCATGTAATTGTATCCCCTCTGTACAGTTTTTTCACAATAAAAAATAAATAAAAATTTTAAAAAATTAGTGATTTGAGCTTTGAGTATGGTGGCTTATGCTTGTAATGATACCTGCATAACGGGATGACTTTGAAGCCTGGGAGGGCAAAAGGTTATGCTAGCAAGATGACATGTAAACTGCGTCTGATGGCATAGGATTGTGATCCCATTTATGTGAGGTAAGAGCATCTTGAACTGAGGATAGGCTAGCTTCCTCTGAAAAAGTAGCACAGGCCAAAGAAGTTGTTTGTTTTCCTGAAGTTCTGGTCTAGGGTTGGAAAGAGCGGAGATGAAGTCATAGTTGAGGCCAAAAATGGTTCGTATATTACTGACTGATTGACTTGCTTCCTTTCTTCCTTCCTTCCTTTCCTTTGCATGTGTATGTACATATATCTATCTATCTATCTATCTATCTATCTATATATATCCTTTGTACATTTATGTATACCTTTATACATATTCACATCTTGTTCTAGGAATGGGACTTGTCAATTTGCCAGTTTTGTCAATTTCCTTATCTTCAAGGTGGTATACAGATGATTTAGAGTTACAAATGAAAGGCAACCACTCCCTTTCTTGTCTTACCCATTTACCCCATACCTCATTAGTCTCCCACTTTCCATCCTTCCCAACCCAGTTAAGTTGTACAGTGCGTTTTCACCATAGTGTCTTGTGAGTATCACTGGGCATTGGTTTAGCTTTTTTCCTTTGTCTCCTTTGTTTTTCCTTTGTTTCCTTTTGTTGATCCCTTTCCATTCAGATAATTCAGATAAACATACTGTATTTGACTTTTTAAGGTGCTCAATTGGGTATTTGAGAAGTAGCTATCAATGTGCTAGAGAGGAGAGGACAAAGAACTGGAAGGCCAAAGTAGGTAAGAATTAAGGTTCCCAGTGCTCTTGATTATTGGTGTTACTTTGGCTAACATGTATTAGAAGTTTGAAATCGCTGAGTATAATAAATAAGTTGTAAAGAACCTGGGTCTTTTCTTTCTTTTCTTTCTCTCTCTCTCTCTCTTTTTTGTATGGTGGTTGGGGGTTTGGGAGAGCAGTTCTGGGGCTTGAACTAGGACTTGGGTTGAGTCCTTGAGCTGTTTTTCCCAAGGCTAGCACTCTACCACTTAGAGCCACAGCACCACTTCTAGCTTTCTGAGTGATTAATTTGTGATAAGAATGTCAGGAACTTTCCTGGTCATGCTGGCTCTCGGCTTCCTCAGTAGCTAGGACTACAGATGCGCCATTTGTCAGGAATCGATTGGTGAGGGGTTTCTGGCTTAGTTTTTCTTTCCACTTATCCTCACCTCTCCTGTAAGGAGTTTTGCACAGTTTTCTCAGGTGTTGGATGCCGGGAAACGGAGTTGATCCAGCAGCTTGAGAAGTTGAGGCCAGAGTATCACAACAGCCTAAGAGTTGGGAAGAGTCTATCTTAACTGACTAGCTAGCCAACTAACTAACTACATAACTAAATATCACATCAATAAATAAATGTATTATCAAAATGGAAATAATGTCATCTGTTGTGAATACAGTTTCAACTTTGCCAACAATTGCAGATTTCTTTCAACACTACTCTAATGAGTAGTGTTTCTCTGATATTGTTTGGTTTAAAATTCTTTTCAGCAAGATAACTGCATCTCTGTGTGCCCCTCATAGGTTCATATCCACTGGCTTGCATAAAATTGGTTTATAGGGCTGGCTCTGGTAGCAACTCCACTTTCAGCTTTTTTGGTAATGATTCATTGGAGTTAAGAGTCCCAAAGTCTCTCCTGCCCAGTCTGGATTCAAACATGGCTGGTCACATCTCAGCCTCCTCAATAGCTAGGATTACAGGCCCTTGAACTGTTTTAGTTATTTTTGAAACAGAGCCTTCCCTTTTTGACTGGGCCAGGCTCTGACTCTAGTTCTCCTCCT